AGGCTGGTCAGACAAAATAAAAAAATAAGGTTACTCTCAAGAGATTTGTCCCATAATGCTTTGAATTAGGCAGATGCTTACCTTTGATACTTTCTTGTATGAGTCCTTTCTTGAAGTAGGCTAATGCTATCCCCACAATGCCATCAAACTTTGTTAAGGGTATTGATGTATAAACCTCAATGGCCTTATCACACTCGCCAAGGGCACTGTAAAAACAAAACCAGACACTGGTATGAAGAATGTTGCCAACATTTGCTATAATTCAGAGCAGCTGTCCTTGTAGACAAATATCTTCTTTTCTACAACAGTCGTAAGTAGACAACTTACAACTTGCTCTGGAAAGAGCAAGATTAGGACATGAATGTGCAATATTCCTCCTTCTGTTATAGCAGTTACTCTCTCCAACTCTCTTTTGCATGAAGAATAACTGATATCAAAAAAGTCCTCCCCATCTGCATGACAGCTTTATGTGAAGATGTCACTTAATGGTTAACACAAAAGAGTGGGAGAAAATAGAAAAGGAGTAACATGAAAAGGGCTAATCAAAGTATGCATGCACACAGATAGTCGAGTGTACATACAGACAGACATACAGCATTCTTGTTCGAAGATCACTGTGGAAGAAATTATAGGATTGTGTTTAACAGAACTAGTTATTAGTTACTGGAGCCTTCCTCTTGCTTAAATGGCACACAGGAATTACCACACATACAGCATGGATGTGAGACTACAGGAAACTGAAAAGTTGCTTCTAAAATCTTCCCTGAAGTTAAAGAATGAATTACCACAGCCTAGAAATTCTAGTGTCATGTACAAAAACTTCAGAATATATGAAGTTTTCCCAGAGACCTGACATCTGATTAGCAGAGCTTGAGTTATATCAAAGAGAAGTTTGAAAATCCTCATCTGTTAAGACTTGCATCCTGCATTCCCTCAGAACCAGAAGGGAATGGCAAATTCTGAGTAGAACTGAGAATTCTGAGTAGAACTGCAGAAGAGAGGGTCATAAGCGGGTCACATTCATGTACACAATACCCCAACCCCACATGCTTCAGGTTGTACAAGTCAGTACACATTCAAATTGCAGGTAGAAGTGATTTTAAATAAACCCTGAAGCAGCTATTTTGTTCTAGTTAAACCCTTACATATCTCAACTGTGGACTCTAAAAAAACCAATTTATTCTGGAGACCATAAACCAGCTACATTGTGTAGACTATGTTAAGGCACTTAAATATCAAGGTAAGGATAAGGGAATCACTGACATGTTACGAACTATGAAAACACTGAGCAATTCCTTGCAATCTGACTTTTTTTTTTTTTTTTTTTTGCTCATTTCTGGAGCACATAAAAAACTTCAGTCAAACATGTCTACAGTTAAATGATGTTTAGTAGATTATTTCTAACAACCACTTTTTGGCCTCCTTCATGATCTGCATGACTGTATTGACTATATCCAAAGCTGAAGTCAGAGGCTGCGAAAATAAGCCAACACTTACCACAGACACCTGCCATAGTTTTGCATTGCTGTATTATATTTCTCAGTATCAGCAGAGTTTTTCAGCAATGAAGCTGCCCTGAAATTAATGACAATAAAGAATGATTACCATCTGACTATAACACACACTTTGACAACAGTTCTCACAGTGGACAAATGTTTTAATCAGAAGCTTTCCTATGCTAATTAAGCACAAACAGAGCCCATTTCACTGCATCAGCAAATATATCCACCAAACACATTCCTTCATCATGTCCACCTACCATTTGAAAAGAAGGGAGAAGATAAAAAAGCAAAGCCAGAGCCCAATCACCTCCATTAACTAGAATGAGTAAAGACCAAAACTAAAACTCAGCTTACCAGCCTCCAAAATTTCACTTAAATCCCATAGAGTGAATTAGCTAAATGTCCTGGTAAGACATGGACGACTTGGAATGCCTTTACTTCTCCACTTCTGCATTCTGCACTTCTAAATTAGATGTAAGAACATCCCCACACCTTCCCTCACAATGCATTTAGTTGAAATCTACTCTTGAATTGAGAAAGTAAGGTTTACTAAAGGAAAAGAAAAACCCTTAAGTTTTTCAGATGGTGCATGGAAAAAGAGATCAAGGAGCTTGTATAAGTAAATTTTCCAAGACTGTGTCATTTACCTCTCATAGGCATCTGTTGCCTGCCTTTTTAGATTCAGGTGCTCATTCAAATAACCAAGCATCATGAAAGAACATGCATCATCTGGATTTCTTTCTAGAAAATCAGAATTGACAATATAGAGAACATGATCAGAAAGATTACAAAATTATTACAAAAACATTGCTACACCGATGCTACAATGTACACATACACAGGAAACATTCTGCCAAGTGCCTCTGTCCGTTGCTCACTGGAATCACTTTGGCACGCTGCAGGCAAATACAGAAGAGATACAAAGACCTACAACATCGCACCAGGTTAACTAAAAAATGTTTAAAATGTTAAGACACAGGATTAATGCACTCCATGGATTTTAAGTTTTAAAACATGCAGTGTTTTGGGTTTTTTTTATGAAATAGGAAACTATTCAGCTCATACTGACTATAGTAAAACACTAGTAGAATCTTACACTTTATTTTTAATTCTACAACTTTGAAATATTTATTAGTAGCTAAGGTACATATTTTACAGCTGTCATCTCCGACTTTTAGCCTTTTTTCCCAGATTAAGAATGATCACGTAGGACCCTCCTGCAGTCCATTTAAGAACAGGGATTGGACAAAGAAATATGTTCTCGCATTTTCAAGAACCACAGAACAGTTTGGGTTGGTAGGGACCTTAAACACCGCCCAGTTCCAAATCTCCTTCCAGTAGACCAGGTTGCTCCAAGCCCATGCAACCTGGCCTTGAACACTGCCAAGGATGGGACAGCCACAGGTACTCCCGACAACCTGTGCCAAGGCCTCACCACCCACACAGGGAAGAACTTCTGCCTAAGATCTCATCTCAGTCTCCCCTCTGTCAGGTTAAAGCCATTCTTCCTTGTCCTGGCCCCACAGGCCCTTGTCCAAAGCTCATCTCCAGCCTCCTTGTAGCCCCTTCAGGCACTGGAGCTGCTCTAAGGTCTCCTGGAGCCTTCTCTTCTCCAAACTGAACGAGCCCAGCTCTCTCAGCCTGTCTCCAGAGCAGAGCTGCTTCAGCCCTCACAGCACCTCCATGGCCTCCCCTGGACTTGCTCCAACAGCTTCACATCCCTCTTGTGTTGCTGCCCCAGAGCTGGATGTAGGACTGCAGGTGGGGTCTCCCCAGAGTGCAGTGGAGGAGCAGGATCCTGTCCCTCGAGCTGCTGCTCACACTCTGGGGATCCAGCCCAGCACACGGGGGTGGTTCTGGGCTCTGTATGCACACTGCCAGGTCATTGTGAAGTTCTTGTCAAAGAAGCAATCTCATTTTAACATTATCTCATTTTAACATTATCTCGTTAAGGAAGTTATCTCATTATCACATTTTAAATGCTTGCGCCTTATTTTGTAGCTCTCAAAAACGAGCAACAATTTATTCACCAAAGGATTTATGTAAAGTAATGGATGAAGATTTAAGAAAACCCATTTGCTCTATCTACATTCCAGGCTAGATATATACAATCTGACCCCATCAGTGAGGCCGCACTGGCTTGGAACCATGCGCAAAAATACAGTTCATCTCCTGCTGAAGGTTAACAGAATCATGTGCTTGAGGTTATGGAGTTACAGAGCATCTGGGAGTAGGCTTCTGTCAAACATCATGGCATGGGGTAGAGGAGGTAGCATGCATATGGACACACCTGAAGGAAGTCTGACAGCAAACACCCAATGACAAGTATCACAAGGCTTTGGTTCTTACTTTGGCTGGTCTTTGAAGCAAAATCTGCTGGAATGAGCCAGCAAACAGAATTCATACCTACTTCATATTTTTGTGGTAATAAAAATCAGTGCCCCAATTACCCTGTTTTGGTTCCTTTACAGCTCAAAAGCCTCTCCCTAACACAGCAAGATCACTCTTTGCCAAAATTAGTACAGGTGCATCTGTTAATCTTGACAGGTTAGTAAGGTATTTAAATCACCTACCTGTATATTTGCTCAAGACCACCTGGGCTGCTGGAATAGCATTCATCTGAACAATGTTGTACAGATATAGTTCAGTGTTTCTGTTGCTTTTATCCTGCAGCGTTGAACATACCCAGTAGGCATAGCCTTTTGCTCCCTCAGTCTCAAGAAACAAACAAAAAAACCTGGATTCATTAAAGCTGCTCAAGCAACAGCAAAATAATTAAAGATTATAGTAATAATTCTGTGTTTCAAGGCACAGTCTTGCCTAAAAAATCTGCATCAGTGTTAAGCAGGAGAAGAAAACAAAAGTTAACTTGTCCTTTGGGCAAAGAGAATTCTTACATAAACATTATCACTTCCTGCATCACTGGAGGGATGACAGAGGAAAAGCTGTAACAAGAATGTGAAGGCCTTCACTTTCTTACAACTAAGGGCACTGGCAATATCCTTGCTCTCTCCTGGAATAGTTACAATTTATGCCTTTGACCTCCTTCCAATTCTGTGGGATGACAAGAACGTCTTTGCATGACTCATGAAACTGATTTCTTAGACCATTTGGAATAAAGCATTTAATAAAGTAAACGCCTGCTAATCAGTGGCAGCACAAGCCAAGAGCAACAACATGGAAGTCAGACTCTCTCACGTGGTACACCATAACTGTTTCACCATTTGCGACATGCCTATTTTTTAAAAATTACATCACCAAAGTAGAGATATTAGATATACAGAAACTTCAGTACAATAAAACTGTTACACTTACATGCATACTGAGTTCAGTTGTGTGCCTGAAAAGATCCATAGTATCATAGCTGTCTACTGTCTCTGCAATAAGAGCCTACAGAGAAGCAAGTGTTGCTGTAGTCAGGTACTTCAAAATTTATGACATTGACAAAAAACTCTGCACACATTACATCATACACATCTGAAGCATTTAACATGAAGACTCTTTCTCTCACACTCTCCAAGAAACACTGGTTTTATGAATAAGCCAAATACAATCAAACTGCACAAGCAGTTTCTAATGTATCAGTACTTGAAACTCAGTCTTCAGCTGCTTTGTGTCTCTTAGCACAACTCGTAACATGGGACAGGAGCTGAATTTTGACATGTGATGGTGCTAGGTTCTCCCCCAGAATCCAGTTTCTATTAGATATCATTAGCAGGTCAGCAGCATGGGATTATGAAGCACACCTACAGTGATCATTGAAGTATGAGTCACAAGTACTTCTAACTATTCATGGATGGCCAGGAGCATATGCAGCCCTCACTGGTAAGGAGAAGGTAACTGTCCAGGAAATAAGAACTGCTTTTGTCCCAGGTACATTACAGACTTACTTTTTCTAACAGTGGTGTTAGAAAGCAGGGCTGACAAGAGAGATAATGCATGCCAGATAATGAGCTAGTGGTACAGGTGAAGCTGAAATATCTAGCACGTTATGAAGATGGTGCTTCGGTGGCAACGGTCAATAAAAAGCCTCAGAGTACAAACAGCAAACAGTGATTGTTTTTTTAATAGCTATTGTCTCACAGAACTCACAACATCAGTGAGAAAGACATTATATAAAGTACCTGATGAATGTAGCTCCCATGGTATGGAAACAAAGGGTCCCATCCACCCTCAGGGGAGGCAGAAGCTCCCTTAATGTAAACATTTAAACACATTTACTTAAAATGTGTTATTTTCAAGAACACGATTAAGTGCCAATTATTAGGATGGAGTCAAAGTCTTCTCCTTGACCAAAAAAAAAGGCTCGGTGCACAGTTTCAGGAGTATTTATCACCTTACCTGCCCTATCCAACACAGTAAGTAAGAAGGCTCCAGAGACTGTGCTATCTTGAAGGCTTCATGAGCTTGCTGCAGAACCAAAGACAAGAGAGTTATTGACCTATCTGTCATAGTAACACAGCACTTCTGAATATACAGAGGTATTTACATGCAGTAATATTGGAAAAGATTTCATATACACAATTAGGTCACTATTAAAAACATGTATCATGCTGCACAGAACAATACATTGCCTAGAGAAACAAACCACATCAGCCTTACTAACAAAGAACAAAAAAAAATCATTACAAGAGTAAAAGTTTCCCTCTCTTTCAAATATTCTTCCTTCTGACAACAGCAAAATAGTTCAGCAGCTAGAGTAACCCCTGGATCAATTAATGTTTTAAAATCTGACTCCTGGAGGATCCAGTTTTGGAAATTTGTTTTTTCTTCACTCAGAGAGTTAAAAAAACATATTTTCAAAATGGTAGAACTGGTTACCACGACAAGTTATCTTTGCTCTATGGACTGCATATATTCAGAGTTCCTCCCTCAGTGTAGCACAAGCACTAGTAATCTTAGCAGTAAGTAGCTTGTAGCATCAAGTTATTTTTATTAAAAGGAATTCTGATCTTCACATTTTCAATTACATAAAACTTGGGTAATTCTGACCAGCAAATAGATTAGGATATAGTTTTAGCTGCATGAGAAGTTTGGACTTCACTTAAGATGTTCTATAATTTTTCTCCAAAGAAACTCTGAAGGCTACACAGAATTACAGTAAATCGTAAATCTGCCAATGAGCATGAAGTAACTACCTGTGGGAAATCCAAAAAAATTAAACTTCAGTTTGTGACTTACAGCTAAAAGTTCCTGGTCAAACCTGCTGTGCACTGCTTTGACTAACCACTTCTCAGTTCTCCCAAACGCTTTTCATTCCATCCAGTTGCTTGAAAAGCAACGTTACCAATTCAGAAGTTTCCTTCCAGAGCAAACATCTAATTTATTTGCTTGCCTCAAGTGAGGTACAGGTGCCAATTTCTTTCAAAGAAAGTACATTTTTTGCATCTGAGAGAGACATTCTTCACTGTTTGCCCACACTCCCACCCCCATAAACCTCCATTAAAATGGCAACCAAAAAAAAAAAAAAAAAAAAAAAAACGGAAAAGGAAAGGGAAACTATATATGAGGATAGGGAAGAGAGTTACCTCAATATTTCCAGTTGTCAGATACAAAACCCCCAAGTTGGTCCAGGCAACAACATTCTAGACAGAACAAATGAAGTTAAAACCAATGCATTATTACTATATTCAAACATAACACTGCATCAGGGGAGAAGTTTTAAATGCCCACTTGAAACAGATGGCATCTGCCTACAACACTTACGATTTTCTCAGCTTGAACAGATTTGATGAACGAATGTTGAGCAAGAGCATAATTCCCAATAGCTGGGGAGGTAAAAAAAAAAAAAAGAAAAAAGTAGAGATAGATCTAGCTGATTTCATAAATGCCATTAGTCAAGTTGCCTTCTAATTTAGGATATTATTGAGCTAGGGGTTTCACTGAACACTTACCACTACAGGAAGCAACCACACCAAGTGCATTCCAATAAAGATGATTTTTGCTGTCAAGCCTCACAGCTTTTTTGAGACACTGGAAGGAAATCAAATGTGGATTATCACCATTAGAAAAGCAAAAATTAAGACTTCATGCACTTTCTTATTAAGAGATGTAAGTTTTATTGAGGACAAAAAGATTATGCAGACAAGCACCAACACCAATTTAAATTTTAAAGAATGTAATGGCAAAACAGGCAATACCTGTAAAGACTTCTCTAGCAGTTCACTGATCTCATTCATATCAGATCCCACCGCTGTGAGGTGCTCTGCTTGTCTATAATAATTTATTCCAAGATCACACCATATGCTAGGCAAAGGCATCAGTTTTAAAGCTCTGCCATAACACCTACAGAAATATGAATCACAGAAGCATTATTCCAAGCCTTTCTGCATGAAGAGCAGAAAGCTGAGAAAACATTCAAATAAGTGCTTAAAAAACCTAAACCAACCAACCAAGCATAAATACAAACAAAAACCAGACAAGAATGGAAAGCAACAACCCATTTTCTGTCAGCCAGATACCTTCAGAGAATCTTTTCTGGTCTAAAGGCAGTCTGTAGTGCCCACCAGATACGAAGCCACATATGTGCATTAAATGCATATAATTAAATGCATATAATAATGCATAAATTGCAGCATATATGCTTTTACTTAAAACAAGCACTAGTCATTTTTACAGTTAACCAGACTTCCCCCAAGAAGCATCTGACTTCATGTATCATGGCTGAGATCTACAAAGCAGCTGAATTTCCTGCCTTACACATCCAATTGCACAAAGCTCAGAGGAAGAGTCACAAAAGAGGCTACAGAAAATATTTTCTACCATCATGAGCCAGAAACAAGGAATTTCCTCTTCCAGTGTATTCTAGACCCCATAGGTAGGGAAAAAAAAAAAAAAATCAATGGCATTTTTGTAAGAAAGGAATACAGACAGAAAGCTTAAAGTACTATCTTGGACTTTATAGTCCTGGGAGAACTGGTTAGCAACTACTGCAACCAATCCATTTGAAGAGGTGTAATTTACTGAACGAGAGGCAGCACATAGCCATGCTCTGGAGACAGAAACAAGGAGAACAGCAGATGCTAGACGAATTGTTGAGAGCCACTGTGGCAATCCTGGAAATATACTCTGAAATGAGTAAGGTAATTTGGAAGAAGCATGAGACTCTATTTACCACCTCATTAATCTTTGCTAAATATGCAGGTGTTGACAGATCAGCATGCTCTAGAAATGGTCTAAAACACTTGGAAGTCTATAGAATCTCAAGATGCACAGAAGCCTGAAATAATAAAAAAATATTACCTTCCTCCCAGTACAAGCAGCTCACTTTTCTTCAGCCTCCGTGTGGCTGCATTTTTACCCAGAAGGGATCCTAGAACTTGAACATACACTTTAGATGGTGAAGCAACATGCACGCTAGTACAGGTATCTCCAAGCAGTTTCCAGAGGCAAGATACATCAGGACGTTGCTTTGTTGCCCTGTAATTAATGACACAGAAAGCCCCAACAACACACATTCAGACACCTCATTATACTTTGCTGAAACAAAGTTTACAACTTCAGCACAAACTCTAATGTTTGTTTAATCAACAAGCTGTTTGTCTCATTTTTTCTTTTTTTTTTTTTAAATTATTGTTTTCTCCCTATTCAACTTACGGGTCTAAAAGATCAAAAATAAAGAAAAAGCCCCTACGAAATGCCAATATATCCCAAGTTTGTTGGGACTTAGTGTCAGTTCTGCAAATTATCCATTATCTGTTAACATTGTAAGCTGACTATACCCAATTTAGCATTTCAGCCTAAGTCCAGAATGTATCATTCAAACCATTTCCAATAACCACATTCTTGCTTTCAGATTAGAAGCCTGATCTATTTGTTTTAGTTTACTGGAAATCCTAAGATACATAACTCTTATTCTTCTGCCTGTCAACCCATTATCCCAGTGGACGTTAAAAGACTTGGGCATTTAGTACTAACCTTGTAAAAAATTCAAGAGCCTGCTCTATGCAATCCATAGCCTTTCTATCAAAAAAGTTATCAAGGGCTGATCTTGCCAAGCTCAGATAGCATTCACCAAGTCCTGAAAATAAAAGAAAATATCCTCTATGAAAAGTGATGCTTTTATGATCTGCTTGATAAAGGAGGTGGGGTGGGAGGATGGAAGCCTGCTCAGTGTTCTGCTTGATATAAAGATTTATAGCCTGCACAGGTCATGCCTAATTCAAAAGACTCAAAGTGCCCATAATACAGACCTTGCTTTTAATCTATCCTGCCAAGTGTGAACTGTAGAATAACTTGGATATTAAAATAAACCAAATAAAGTATTTGGTTTATTAAATTATTATTATAAAATAAATATTATTATATATAAAGATATTAAAATTATGATTATAAAATAAACCAAATAAAGCATAAACCCCATAGCATTTAAGCTTTGGGTTTCTCCTCAAACATTAAGAAAACCCCTCCTGAGAAATCGGCTCTGCACTGAGAAGTCTTTGACAAATACACCAATTTTCAGTCGACACAAGTCAAATAACATTTCCAAAACACAAACAGAAGAAACAATCTTACAGTAGGCTAAAGGGAAAGCCTTCTTAGAATACTTGAAACCAACATTATTTAATCCTATTTATGTAAGAATTTACTTCATATGATGTATGGAGTCTAGCTGGGATGTAGTTAATTTTCCTCACAGCAGCCCTCATAGTGCTGCGCTGCATATTGATACCTAGCAAGGTGCTGATAACACACCAGTGCTTTGTTTGCTGCTGAGCAGTGCTCCACAGCATCAAGGCTGTCTCTCCAACATCCCTCCCCCCACCAGTAGGGACACCTGGGAGGGCACACAGCCAGGACAACTGGCCCCAGCTGGCCAAAGGGATATTCCAGACCATATGATGTCTGCTCAGCAAAAAAAGCTAAGGGGAAAGGACGGGAGTGGCGGGGGTGGGGAACAGGGACGGGACACATGACACATTCATTATTACAGTATTTGTCTTAGGTAGAAACCACTACGTGCACTGAAGCTCTGCTTCCCTGGAAGTGGCAGGATGTCACTCACTGATGAGATAATAAACATTTTGTTCCCCTTTGTTTCTGTGTGCAGCCTTTGCTTTTGCTTTATGAAACAGCCTTTATCTTGACCCACTAGTTTTTTCCATCTTATTTTCTCCCCAGCCCTGTCCTGCTGAGGAGGGAAGAGTAGCTTGGTAGGCACTCAGTGCTCAGCAAGGCCACCAGGTATGAAAATAAAGGCAACTGTTAAAAAGGAACTTCATTTAATGACCCAATTTCTAGCATTTTGGAACCAACAAGGTAACTAGTTAACTGCTTGATTTATACTGTTGCTGGCACAGCAGTGATTCTGTCTGGCAGTAAGTCATGGTACAACTACCATTAATTATCAGTATTATTTTCACAGTTCTGAAGCTGCCTTCCTCATGCCATCACACCCTCTACCTAAACCCAAGCTATTCATCATGCAGTCACGTTTTGCAAGATCTTATCTTCCCCCCACAAGGTATTTGTTTTGACCACACAAGATATCCCAAGATCATGAGCTTCTGAGATGCCAAGAAGCAATGTATTCTAAAACCAAAACTGATCTCATTTCCCAAAGTTATATACTAAAAGATATGCTGGAGCAGAGGCAGAGTAAACATACTGTTTAGTAACACAAAAATAAAATACATCAAGATGATGTATTCAAGTAACATCAGTATAGTTATTTTTTCACCTTCTACACTATGCTTCCAACAACTCTATTCCAAAACTAAATCCATCTAAATAGATCAGAAAAGAACCAAAAGAACACTGATATATGTTTCAAAGAATTTTAAGAAGGCCCACAAAAGATAGCACACCAGACTACACATTAAACAGTCCTAAGAAGGCAAAGACTGGAGGCTCACAGGAAGGTCTGGAGCTAATAAATCAGAGATTAGGATGAAAGGGATTATGAGAGAAAATTTAGAAGATTTAAGAACACAGAGTAAGTATAGAGGCAACTATAGGGGGGAAACACTGGTATCATGTGCTTACATCCTGTCTAAGCATTTTATTCTAGGTAATGCTGTCAGGAGTCACCTATAGAAACCAGAAAACCCATGTACACACACACACACATTTCTATACAACACCTCTGCAAACTGCAGCTGCAGTCAGGTGTTGCCTTCTTACCCAACAACTAGACAAACTCTCTATCGCCAATACTCTTGAACTCTTATCATGGAGCTTTTGCCATGTCACTTTAGTCTCGCAAACTCCAAGTGACAAATTTATATATGAAGAGGTGGATGTACAACCACCTTGTACCGCTTTCCAGTAATATGCATACTGTTGGAATAGTAACCCAACAATTCTGACTTAGTCTTACAAGAACAAGCCTACATTCACCCCAAAATCAAAAGGCCTTATGCACAAGGAAAGAATACTCTCTAACCTAAAAACTCATACTGGTACCAAGCAGCAAACAGCATCTATTTCAGATGGATGTACGGAGTGAGAATGACTAAACACTAGGGGCGGAGAGAATGTGAACCAAACAGTTATTCAGTGGCTACCAAAACGTTATACATTCCCAGTATCATGTATCTTAAGAATCACAGTTCTAACACCAGAATGGAGTTACAGTTCTATTTCTCTCTGCTCCCAGCTATATACCAAAGACCTTTACCTAATGCCACCTCTAATACTTGTGAGACCCCTCGGTATATTTTACTGATATTGTTCATCACTTGAAGGAGCTCAGAGGTGTCTGAATCACCAGGATTAACAAAAAAAGTGAGGAACACATGGTCAGGAGCAGCAGAAAATGAGTACAAACACACCTCTTCGAAACAGCAGCCTGACTCCACGGCCTGTTGAGCCAGCATCTGACTGCTTAGCTAAAACTAAAGCACCATTAGCTGGCTTCATCTGTCTATCTTCAATTCATCTACCCATCTGGCCTGGTAGCTACACAGGACTAATAACTTTTCATACTTGCTTGGGGGAAAAAAAAAAAAAAAAGATCACACCCATCCATCATGATTTAAGAGCTCTTCAGACATTTGCAGGCCACTACACACTAGCTTTCATGTCGGGGATCACAATGGTCTACCCACCCAAAATCCCAACTCTAATCCTTCCATGCAGGAAAACCTCAATACACCAAGAACCTTTCCACAAGACTAAGCACCACAGTGTGTAGACAAAGTTAACACTTTCAAATTCAGACATCTTACCTTTCAGCGCAGGCACATAATCTTCTTCACCCTTTAAAATTTGCTGATAGGTCGCTATAGCATTTTCATATTTCCCTAGAATCTGCTCAACTGCTGCAGCTTTGTAAACGCTGTACACGAGCCCTGGGTTCAGCTCACTTGCTTTCCTGAAGGATTTTAGAGCTGTTGAGTAGCTACCTCTGTTCAAATAAGCCTCCCCTAGAGACTCCCAGCAGTTGGAATCCTTCGGATCAGCCCTGACAGCTGCCTGCAGACTGAAGATAGTGTATTAATGATAGATATTAATTTGCTTAAATAAAAGGTAATACAAGTTAATATAAACAAATTATTTCCTTGCATTATATAAACACAGCACAGTAGTGTTTTCATCTTCAGAGCACATTATATAAACTTAAACACTGTACTTACTCTCGACTCATTATTCAGTGCTACACTATGCTTGTCTATTCCTGTCACCAGGCTTGTTAGTACAGAGCACTGCCATGGTGAAAACACTACACTGTACCAATTCTGAAACTGAAGATAGACACAGCGTGCTCAGACCCATTTCCCATTGTTTAGTACAATCCATCCTACAGTCAGCTAAATTACTTCCAAACTTTGCTAGATCAAAGCCTGTTTTATTGGGGTTTATAGAAAATGACTTGAACCAATCAACCACAAGTTCTCTTACTCAGCCACTGCTTGTGACGGCTGATCAGTTCTCAGGTAGTAAAGTCCACGATGAAGCCAGGCCCATTTTGCTGTACCAGGACTTGCTCTTTCAGTTACTTCATTCAGGATTGACAGAGCAGTGTCCTAACAAAGCACCAAAATATGCCAAGTTAGCAAACATGTATAGCGGTAAAGAACAAAGTTCTTAAAGAATACTCTTAATCCAGCAAACCATTAAGCTGTCCAACCTGTTGATTACTGCTATGAAGAACTGTTAAGGAAGCTTCTTAAAGGCTGACTGGCAGATTACAGGAGAATATTATCACATCTAAAGATGTGATTATTTCTTACGTACTTGTCTCTGCAAATAGACAGAAGCTTCCTGTAGTTTTGTAGAAACTATTATTTTATTTTTAAACTAGAGAAGGATGTAAGTATTTGCAGCAAGTCAGACGCTTAGATACTTTCCAGATGTTCAAATGACATCCACAAAATATGGGTTGTTTTCTTCCTCTATATCACAGGCTAAGAATTTTTTATATAATGCCATATGAAAAAGTATTTTTCAATTGTTCCAATGTCTTTATATGCTTTTCCTGAAAGCGGCAAGGTGGAAGATGGAGAGAAGAAGTGGTGCAAATTGAATATATAAAGAAAACTGAAGTCTTCATGCTCCCTACTGAAAAAATCCTTCATCTAAATCACGTAAGTGATGACTACCATGCTATGCTTGCCTCCCCTACCCCTATCCCCAGATAGATTTAATTTGGAATCGGAAGCATAAAAATTAAGCAGGTCCAATTATGAAAGCTGCTAAGCAATGACAGAGCATCTGTTTTTAGAACTTATTCTCAAATACAAGGGAAACATCAAGTAATTCCTCAAAGAGCAGGATTAACAGAAAAATGAAACAGCAGTAATCCAGGGCCCTGAATGTACAATACCATGTCTCCAAGTTCCACACTTAAGTCTACAGCTCCTGTTCCAGATTCCTCATCGGTTCCATCCAGTTCAAAAGCCTTTTTATAGCAACCACGAGCTCTACTTTTGTCTCCAGCAATGTCTCTGTAGTAGTTACCTAAATAACGAAAGACACTTCCCAAGTAGCTGTCCAGTTTTGCAGCCTGTAAGGAAATATGAACACAGTGTAAACCAGCATTTTAAAGGATTATGCTAACGGACAGGTACAGCTATTGCTCAATCTGGGCATCAATTTATGTAAGGTCCTTCTGTGATATGTATGAGAACACAAGCTTTATGATTTCAGTGATTACCCGAGCTTTAAATATTTGCAGAATCTGCTACAAACCTCATGATACAAAGCATTTTGTACATGAACTACTAATAAGTTAGTTGTGCTAGGAGAAAACAATTCCTTTCCGTCATTTCATATTCTGCTCCATTTCAACCACTATGTTCATACTCTTACCATATTACATGACAATTATCTCCAGTAAGTTCCTTTTTAGCTACTTGGCAGATTAATTTATATTTAGGAAAGCCAGAGACCCAAGCAGCTGAAAACAACGTGAACAATAGTAATAAAAAAAACCAACCCACTGAAAGTAGTGTAGTACCAAAATTATTGTTCAACTACATTCTCCAGTATACCCTACTGCTACTGAAGTGCAAACAGTAGGCAATAATTTGAGTTGCCAATACCTATCATGATTTTATATGGTGAGTTTTATGTACGTATGTTTGCATATATATATATGCATACACACATATACATACACACACACATCTGGAGTCTTCCTCTGTATACTTCCATGCTCCAAATAAAGATGCCAGACTAAATCTTTTGGATTCACATTCTTAACTACGTTCAGAGAAAAAGCCACAAGCACCACAGCCCCAAAGATCAGGTACAGTTAATAAACTGTGTTCTGCAGAATTACTTCTATGGATAGACACTGGAACTCTAACACCATTTTCATCATTTTTCTTGCCTCGTTTTTTTTTCCAATCTGAATTTTGCCCTTCCCATTTCAAAATATCTTCAAAGATCTACACTGGTTATCTAGAGGCCTTCACTTCCATCAAGAAAAGAAGACTCAGAGAATCACCGCTACTTCTGGCTAAATCAAAGGCCTCAAGAAATAGACAAATAGAGGAAAACAAAAGCAGGGAGATTCCAGGGAATTGCACAGCTTCCTCGAATGCCTTCTGACACACATGAACTTGGTTTACAGGCTCTTGGAGGCTTGTAAATTGCAACAAGCAGAGTCATAGAGTCATAGGTTTGGGTTGGAAGGGACCTTAAAGATCAAGTTCCAAACTCCCTGCCATGGGTAGGGACAAATATGTTCAAGTCTGTCATTCTGATCAGCGTATTTTCCATATTTGATTTCTCGTACAGGAAAACACTAATTCTACATGAATAGTTAAAGTAGCCTTTACCTTCAAGAACTGAGTGAGTGCTTTTCCTTTGTCTTTTCTTGTGTCATCACTCATGAACCAGTACGTGAGCCCCAGGTACTGATGATACTCTGCAGTTTCAGCCTTTCTTTCAATAGCATTTAGAAAACTAAGGAAAAGGAACAGAAGACAGATCAGACAAGTTCTTGAAAGTGCGCAACAGTATTTTCTGTCCTCCCCTGACATTTCCCTACTAGAATAAAGAAAAAAAGTCTACCTTCTTTCTGCCTGTTCATAGTTCTTTTGGGAATAATGGATGAAACCCTCTAGAGCATGTGACTCAGCCAGGTCAGGGTGGGACAACAAAAGCTCTTGTGAAATCTGCAAAAGAATGTCATTCTTCCTTAGTTATTTCCTCTATGAGAACAAGAACTCCACTTAGTTTACAGGAATGACAATACAGCACTAACCTTTGAAGCTTGATCCATTAAACCTTTCTTTAGGTAAGCCTGACCACTGATAGCTAAAAGCACTGGATCACTGTTTGCATCCACGATCTAGAAAAACAAGTAATAGACACAACCAAGTTATTCTCTCCACAAATTAAGAAATCAAATGTGTCAAACGCAGACAGACTGCATGAATAAAAAAAAAAAAAAAAAAAAATCAGACAGAATACCCTTGAGAAGCCTTCCAACAATTTTTATGAAGAACAGGGAGAACACTGTAGAGAGCAAGGACAAAGGCACCCAAGACTAAACAGCCAATAATGACACTGTGATACAAAAAAGAGGGGAAGCAAAGTCTGCTTAAAGCTTAGCCGTTTGATCTTAAAAGTAATATGCTCTTGTTCATGAGGAAGGACAAGTGAATGAAGGATGCAGGGAGTAAGATTACAAAAATAATTCAGATTACGGTGAGCAACAGCCATAAAACTAGCAAGAACCCAGCAGCGCTGAGCAAGACCAGACAAGGTCAAAAGTGACAGCTTCTAGAATTAGAACTGTGAGTCAAAAGCAGATGTAGAGAAGACTAAAACAACAGAGAAGGAAGGAGTGTTTGGATTACACCATAATTGCTAGGAGCTGTCTAAACCACACAGAATGTAGAAAGGAGGCAAGGGGAGAAATACACAGCCTGAGTTTTTAGTACAGAAAGATGATATCACTTTAAAAAAAAAAGTATATATGTTTTAATCAATGAAAATACCTGCTCAATTGCTTTAATGGCTTCTTCTGCAGCACTGGCATCATCTATTTTAATCAAAGCTTCTGCTTTCAGCTGGAGTATAAGGTTCTTCCACTGATGACTAGGGCCCTCAGATGTTCCAAGAGCCCTGAGAGCTGTATCAAGAGAAAAGTTTCATCAAGTAAAAACAGAAAAAGAAACTATGAAGAGCACCACTGTTTCCAGTATCTTTTAAATCTTGATAATTGCAGTATTTCACTCAAATAGAACACCAACAAATAGAACCAGTTTTTGACTGCTGTCCCCCATGATGAAGAAATCATTCTGCAAAATTTCTATCCATTCAAGTTTAGAAGTTAAATCAATTTTAGAAAGGTCCTTTTAGAAACTTGGAGAGGCTGTTTGCTTTCTAGCTGCTGGCCATATAAGTGGAATGCTACTTTTTTCTGACCTATGTTCTGAAGAAACAATCAATAGACAAGTTGTTTTTCACTTCATTGTCTAAAGAAAAATTATTACTGAAACTACCTGCATCAACAGCATCTTTTAGTAAGGCACAACAGATTAACTTATACCTTGCACTGAGAAACAAAATTGTTCTTTTTATTTGTTAGATTGTTGTGCCAACTGTATGCTGGGCTGCATCCCCAGTAGTGTGAGCATTCCATCCTGCAGTGTCACACACGGCTCTGGGGAAACAACACAAGAGGGACATGGAGCTATTAGAGTGAACTCACAGGAGACCACAGAAATTCTGTGAGGGCTGAAGCAGCTCTGCTCTGGAAATAGGCTGAGAGTGTTGTCTCTTTTCCTGAGACTAAGCAGCACAAGATGCTTTTCAGCTGTTGCAAAACAAGAGAAGCAGGGGACACCAGCGTAAGACTGCATAAAGCAGAGGACTACGCTGTCAACTCAAATCTACCATGCAGAGGCCACACTTGGCCGCACTGTATGAAGTGGTGTGCCCCTGCAGTTAACTCTTTTAGCTAGTGAACAGTTACCTTGATTGCAGGACAGGACAGCATCTCTGTGTTTGTGCAGTTTCATCTGTGCATCTGCCAAATAACGCCATGCTGCTGGACACTGGCTTGTCTTCTGCAAACCTAATAAAAGAAGTTTTAACAAGGCAATAAAAAAAATTGTTTAAGGCTGCAAAAACACTGAAGATGCTATACTACCATATAATGCCATCAAAACATATTATCAGATAAGAAGACATGCAGTTAATTTTTAACTTGAGTCTTATTTTAAACTGCATTAGACATATGGGGTTTCATGCAGTAAGGCAATGACTAAAAAGCATGTTAGCTTCTGTTAGACTTCATTTTGCATACAATCTTAGATATACAGAAAAAAAATGGCAAAAAGCAAGAAAATATACAACACTGGTTTAAGGTAACTTTTGTTTCAAAAATAAAAAAAACCTTCACTTTGATTAGACATGAACATCAGCAGCCTGTGTATATTATATGGATTTTACTAGAAACCAGAAAATGCATACAGAACTTCCAAGACAGCAAAAAAAAAATGTTGACAAGAGTATTTGACTGAAACTTTCTAATAAACCCATCTTAACTGAAGATTCAGTAATATAACTGTATTTGAGTCTTCTGAGACACATATATATAACCTTGAAGATTCAATGCCTAAAATGCAAATACTTGGCTCACTGGGAATGACATTGTCTCCAAATACTATACATTTACAATATTATACCAACACCCTTGCCCTTCGCATTCTCACCTTCATGAGCAGAGTATTACATGTAAAAGTAAAAATCAAGAAATAAAATTATTTGGGAGATGAATCTTTTGCCAAAACTAGGATGTATATTTTTGTCAAATCATCCAAAGGCAATTTGAGCCAGGAGAATTTGCTTTCCATGGAAGACTTTTTCCCTCTTGAGCACCTGAAATTTTTATTTTAGATTTTAGGTAAGACATATTATTTCACTGTGGGCAAGTAACCATAAAACACTGTAGAATATTCAGAAATCAAATTTCAGAAACAATCTTATTCTAAACCTAGGTGAAAAAATGCAGGATATCACAGCATAGCCTGACTGACTCATAACTACTTAGGTCCCAAATGTTTATTTACCCAGCTTTCTCAGTAAACTGCTTTGAATACTCCCTGGCTGACACAGTTGAAAATGGAGACTACTTCTTAAAATGATGTAACTTTAAAGAGAAGTCATCCTTGTTCAGATACGGAAATGCAGTAACTAGATTAGAGAAACTGTATTATGTTTTACTTCAGAAATTCCACATTCCTTCATTAATTGTTATTGCTGTATTTTCTGCTTCATCTAGGTATTTCCCCAATAACAGTCAGATTAGAAACAAAGTTTACAGTTGACCACATGAAAATATTACAAAGCTGACTACAACAACAGATTTCAGAGATGTTAAGACTTAAAGCTCTATTTAAAAAATATTCAATGCTCAGAGAAAGTGACGAGTATTCTTTTAAAATCCACCTGATCTTGGAACTGGCAAAGTACTATGCAAGCATAAGATTCCCAAAATATCCAGCATAAAACTAGCTGGTGTTTAAGTTACAGAGTACTTATACTGCTTTATTAAACATTTACCTTCAGTAAGACTTTTAACAGCTTCCTTGTATTTCTTTTCTTGGAGGCTTTTTACACCAAAACCAATAATGCTTAGACCACTACTTGGGTCCATCTCCAAAAGCTTAGAAAAACAGCACAGGGCCTCTTCAGACAAAGCACCTGGTTTCACAAAAAGAAGTATTCCATAAGAGTTTTAGATAGAAAAAAAAACCCAACCCCCCAACAAAACAACAAACCACAGCATAGTTTATCTACATCAAAACACCCTTATCTTTTGAGCTTAAAGTAACAAATTTATTAATTTTTTCCAAAGGTACTACGTACTTATCACTCTTCACCCCCAAAACAGACCCCCAAAATATGCAGTAATTTAAACAGCCAGTAGCACCAAACAAAATACACTTTGAGTCTGAAACCTGAATTTCTAAGCACTCGTGTTAAATTACTACAGGTATACTTCCCTCATTAATAGAAACTAATTCCTTCGTAATCTTTTCCACATAAGCCCAGCTAAACACCCGTGTCAAAATTGGCCATGTATATATTAATTTCCTTCCAGAGCAGGCCTACAAATTCACTGTGATAAGCTTGCTGTAACAGCCTTGCTGCGAACCACATCATTTAATGCATTTGCTTAATTTTAAATGATGCTACTAACTTCTTATGCTTGTGTTTAGTTGTGATTGTAGATCTGGCTGTCCTTGCTTAAAGCAACTGTTGTGACTTGCAGCAACAAGTGTTTGAACTATTCTTAAAATTACAGATACACTTGCCTTTGATTTATATTTGGTAAAGGTGACTAATAATGCATCTGAGTTACAAGCCCACAAGTTTGGGACACAGAGAACTATGACATGGTTGGAATGACACAGATATAAATAGCTTTACTTAAAACCTAAGCATTATCCTTCCCACCCCAAGATGGCTGTGGGATGGTGAGATGTTGTCAGAACATTGGTATATAAAGAACTGTGCGAACCAGATCCTTAATTTTTTGGAAATCAGTTTCTTCATGCTTCTCCGAAACGTAAAGCATTCTTATACGGAAGTGAGGGGCCAGGCCTCATTTGTCTTCATCCTTTCCAATCAAAGTGAAAAACTCGCTCCTGTTTTACATTGCTATATTATTCCATGAAGCTTACCTTCAAAACTGGAAAAGGCATTTTCTACCTAAGGTGAAAGCTCTATTTCTCTTTACATAAACCAGAGGGGGCTTGTCCCCCATTTTCTTTCCTTGTTTTAAAAAGAATTAAAACCAAATTTTGATGCCTTAAACAATAAAATGAAAACAAAAAATTTGGTAGTTATCTTTGAAAATGCTGAGAAACTGTCCAATACTATCACACTGTTGTTTAGTGACCTACTGAAAACAACAGTTGTATACTTTCAGATCCCTGCACTACTGAACATGTTGTGTTTTTTTTCTCAGAAATTCTCCTTTTCTACGTAAAACAAAATATTTACCCAGGTCTGTTTATTCCCTATTCACCAGGCATTCTTTTGAAGGAAGTTTCACACAGGTTTGATTTTTTTTTTGCCAAGAGAGATTTTCTGTGTCAAGAATAACATAAGTATAGCCCATCCTCACTCTTAGAGCAGTGGTTAACATTCTCCATTGCCTCTTGTAAGATCTATTCAGACAGATCACTTCAGAGTTTTGTGAGGCATTCTTTCTTTGCAATTGTATATTGCCAGAATTGGACTTAATTCACATACATTTTTTTCCCATTTACAGTCATCACTTAGTTACAGAGCTAGGAAATACCAAATCACAGAAACAACCACCTTTCACTTACTAGACAGGCAGAAATATAATATAAAAGTAGGGTAAAAACTTGTAAAAAGATTATCACAAAACTATAAAATAATTTAAGCCCCAAAACTGTATAAACCCATCCTACTCACCTGACTGAACAAAATGCAAGCAAAGCACTTCTAAAGGATAACTCACAGAAGGATACAAAGCCATCATATCATTACAGGCTTTTTCCAACCTAGCTGCTTCATGAGGAAACTTGAAAAGGAACAAAATGAATAGTTATTTCTGTGAATTATGAGAATTAAAATATTTCATCTGCTCACTGATGAAGACAGATACCCTTACTTTTGACAAGCACTGAATGAAGTCCTTGTAAAGGTTTTGGTGGTCTTCACCAGGAATGGTGTCAAAAGACTTCAGAGCATGTTCAAATGCAGTCACAAGCTGAAATAAGAAATAACTATGAGTGCAAGAAACAATGACTCATAGACCAGAATATTTCAGCTGGAATGGTCCTGCAACAATCATACAGTCCATCTAGATGAACTACTAACCACTTCAGAGCTGATCAAAATTTAACATGTTATTAAAGGCATTGTTCAAATGCCTCTCAAACACTGACAATCCTGTTCCAGGGTCTGAACTCCTTCTTGATAAAAAAATGCTCTTGCATGTCCAGTCTGAGCCTTCCCTGGTGCAGCTTTGAACTATCCCCACATGTCCTGTCCCTGGATCCCAAGAAGAAGAGATCAGCACCTCCCTCTCCACATCCCCTGCTCAGGAAGCTGCAGAGAATGTCACGCTTCAGCCTCATTTTGTCCAAAGGAGATTAACTCAAGAGTCCTAAGCCGCTCTAAGGCCTTCCAGCCCTCCCATAGTTAGGTGGACAGTTACATGTTATTATCTGTATCTTACTCATTATGTTTACACTAGTACTGTGAGCAGACAAAGTCACAAATCTTTATTCTGAAGTAGTACTCAAATATGATCCAAAGCACACTGTTTAGTGCAAGACGAAACAGTAATATACTGTTTCGTAATATAAGATTGGTACAAGGAAGTCAAAATTTGCAAGATCATAGGTTCTTCTTCACACCTAATCCAACATTAAAAGAAAAAACAATCACAGAACCATAGAATGGTCTGGGTTGTAAGGAACCTTAAAGCTCATCTAGTTCCAACCCCCTGCCACAGGCAAGGGTACCTGCCACTAGAAAAATAAAGACTTTGGTACCACAAAACATATGTTACTATCCTCTATGTTTAGCTGTTAGCCCTTTCCCCACTCTAGAAAGTAGTCTTTTATTTCTTGACTCCTATGTATTAATGAACACAGGCACTGTAGAGTGCAGGCTCCCAAACAAACATGCTAAACGAAAAGTTGACCACAGCTTGTCATAAGTGAAATACTGAAGAGGACACTGCCTTCAATGACACATCCTTCCAGATTCTGGTGCTTTACTCAAAACTGCAGTAAAATAAACTGCAGATTTGCACAGGAATGGCAATCCTCATATTTATGCAGCTTTTCACAATTTCTTGTCCCCCAAAAGAAAGCAGTGCTGCCTGCACTGCTCGTATCACAGCTATCTAAGTCAAATATATATATAACAGCCAGTAAGTCTAAGTGTTTTCCTTCTCAAAAAGCAGAGATTCAGATTAAATTCTCTGGTGTCTGAATTAATTCTTTAACCCTTCTGGAGCACCACTACCAACCAGATCTGTAATAGGAATTCTACCCTACTGAAGAAGGTTCATCTTGTAAGAATAGTTAAATCAGATAAAACTAAATTAACTTTGACCATAGAAAACACAGGCTCAGTATAAGCCACGATAATCATTCTGTTTGCTCCAATTAGCTTTGATATTCTCCTAAGCTAGCTTAAAATCTACAGGAAAGAAGACAATTTGAACTAAAGCACTGCTATTTAGGATAAGCACAGGGTATGAAGAAATTGAAAACCAGTACTACCTGTTCCACCCACGAGTAAAGTAGGAGGCAGTTTTTTCCTCTGAAGAATACCTGTATTGGTTTACATGGCAAGGTTTTGGTAGCAGGGAGGTGAGGGGGGCACTACATGGGTAGCTTCTGTGAGAAGCTGCCAGAAGCTTCCCCCATGTCTGATGGCCCCAGTGCAGCCAGCACCAAGATGGACCCACTGCTGGCAAAGGCCAACCCTGTAAGTGACTTCAGTCACTTCAGAGGTAGCACCTCAGAGATAACATATTTGCAAAGATGGAAAAACTGCGTGTGCAACTGCAGCCAGAGAGAGAAGTGAGAATGTGCGAGAGCAGCAGCCCTGCAGACCTAAAGGTCAGTGAAGAAGGAGGGAGGAGGTGTTCCTGGCGCCAGAGCAGAGATTCATTCCCCTGCAGTCTGTGGTGCAGACTGGGGTAGATCAGGTATCTATCTGCAGCCTAGGGAGGACCCCATGCCAGAGCAGGGGGAGGCTGGAAGGAGGCTGTGACCCCATGGAAAGCCCATGCTGGAACAGGCTCCTTGCAGAACCTGTGGCCCCATGGAGAAAGGAGCCCACAGTGGAGCAGGTTTGATGGCAGGACCTGTGACCTGGTGGAGGACCCACACTGGAGCCATCTCTGCTCCTGAAGGGCTGCACTCTGGACAGGACCCTCACTGGAACAGTTTGTGAAGAGCTGCAGCCTGTGGGAAGGACCAGTGTTGGAGAAATTGGTGGAGGGCTGTCTCCTGTGGGAGGGACCCCACAGTGGAAGAGGGGAAGAGTGTGAGGAGTCCTCCCTTGAGGAGGAAGGAGCGGCAGAGGCTGTGAGTGATGAACTGACCACAATTCCCATTCTCGATCCCCCTGTACCGCTGAGGGGGGAGAAGGTAGGGAATTCATGAATGAAGTTGAGGCCTTGAAGTAGAAAGGAGAGGTGGGAAGAAGGCTTTTTTATGTTTTGGGTTTATTTCTCATTTGCCTATTCCGATTTTGATTGGTAATAATTTCCCCAGGACAAGACTGTTTTGCCCATGAATGTAACTGGTGAGTGATCTCTCTCTGCCTTTAGATATACCCACAAGCCTTTCATATTTTCTCTCCCCTGTCCAGCTGAGGAGTGACAGAATGGCTGGGTGGACTCCTGCAGAATGCACAAGGCAGTTAATGAAGGAGTTCCAGGACAACTTCTTGGATTTAGGCACCTTACTCCACCTAAGGCCTACTTCAGGCTGCTACTTCACTATTTCTGTCAGAAGGTAAAACCACCCCTTTTCCTGAGAAGTTTAGTACTATTGAACATCAATGAAACAGTCACAAGATTTGCACCATTTTTAAGTCTCTGCTTGGTCTAGCTGCACTATACACGTGTATGTATCTAGATGAGTGTGAACAATAAACATTACCAACTGCTCAGTCTTCTTATCCTGGTACTGTGTACTGTCTTTCAGTAACTGGATCATCCTTTTCCAAAGCTGATGAAGTTCTGTATTTTCTGCACCTTCCTTTTGCTTCATGTTTATTAGTTTCTGCCATGTTTCAGCCACCTGTTAACAAATGAACCACACTGTCACACTTCAAAGACCTGGTGGCCTGATACAAGCTTTCTAATTACTGTCAACAATTCCACCCTAGGGTTGGCAATAGAGTAACACTGAAAGTAAGGACCCAGATTTACCGGCTTTCTGCTTAAAACATATACCCAAAGCAATAGGTGGTACCTATTGTGGTCCACATTCTAAGGTACAGTAAATAAGTGAGTCTACATCAAGGGTATGAATTCTGACTCTGGTTCCTGGAGGAAGTAACAGTAAAAACACACCTAAACAGTTATCTGATAAACTCTGAAATGGAACCTTTGTTGGATCTGCAACAGCAGTCCATGTTGAAATTCCACTGTGGAAAAAATAACAGAACTGAGAAAGAGGCAACAGTACCCTCACGCCTAATTTGCAATTTCCTGTTGAACACAGAGCAAGTCTGCCTTCATATGCTAAACTACTAACATTGTGTTTAGTTTCAGAAACTAGTATACACAGAGGCTTCAGAGCCAATTAATAGTCTTGAGTCTAATGCTAAGTGGTATGTGAATGTTTTCATTTTCCACTATTGAAGAAAAGGAGAGGAGATGACTTGGAGTAAAACCATGCACCACCTTGTAAGAAACCAATCTTTTTAATGAGTAAGGAAAGAGTGAACAGCAAAAATATGTATCCTAAAACTTATACTGATTACTTGTCCTGGGTTCAGCTGTAACAGGTGTTTTTCTCCTTCTCAATAGCTGGTGAAGTGCTCTGTTTCAATGTTAGTCTGAGAACAATGATCAGACTTTAGTCTGAAGTAATGCACTGATGTTTTAGTTGTTGTTAAGAAATGCTTACCCTGATCAAGAACTTTTCAGTCTCTCCTATTCTGCCAGTGAGGAGGGGCACAAGAAGTCAAGAGGAAGCAGAAACAGGACACCTAACCCAAACTAGCCAAAGGGGTATTTCATACCACAGCACATCATGCCCAGTATATAAACTGGGGGGAGTCACCCAGAAGGCCCAGATCACTTCTTGAGTTGAGCTAGGTATCAGTCAGTGGGTTGTGAGCAATTGTATTGTGCATCACTTGTGTTTATTGGCTTTTTGTTTTCCTTTCCCCTTTTAGTTTTATATTATTTCCCCTATCATTATTATTATTGGTGATAGTAGTAGTAGTTCTGTATTACAACTTAGCAACCAGACTGTTCTTATCTCAACCCATGGGCATTACATTCTTTTGATTCTCCTCTGAGAGTCAAGTGAAGGAGAGGAGTGAGCGAGTGGCTGCATGGCTCTGAAATACAGGTGGGCTTAAAACATAAAAGTTACTGGAGAAGCTACAGACAATGCTACTGTTGAACTGTTCAGACATTTAACAGCTCCATCTTGCAGTAAACTGACAGGACTATTTCTGCAATGGTCATGCTGACAGGGATTTCTAGAGTGCTGGGTGGCCTGTCCTGGAGTAGCTTTGCATGTCATTACTGCTGTACATGGACTGCAGTACATAATGCACAGGTAATCAAGTTCAGGTTGTGTAGAAATTCCACCTTACCCTCTGTCATTAAGTATCGGGAATAATCTAGGAAGGGATCACCACACCAGTGAAAGGCTGATCAGATACCTAGAAATGGCCAAGCTAGGCAAAGAACACCTAACTTACACATGTAAAAGTGTATTCGGGATAATGCCTGACTTCTAAAAATAAAACAGAAGAATGATGTTCTACCATTTCAGCCTGTATACTATACATTCTTTGTCAAACTTTGTCAGCTTAATGGATTGCATTCATGTCTTACGCAGTGAAAAAGAAAGCAATACAATTAAAATCAGCTCTTCCTGATTGTGGACCACAAGAAAATCTTGAATGGTCTGTGGCCACAAAAAAAATGGGGATTCCTTGATCAAAAGTACTTAGTTCTGATTAAATGGAAATTTGTTTGAAGAGAGAAAGCAAAATTACTCAGCCTACCTCTAAGTATTTTTTTTCTTGATGATATAGCTCCACAAGCTTCGTACATACATCACACCATTTCTGCTTGTCACCACTAGAAAGAAGAAAATCCCACACAAACAAGCTAAGTTTTCCAGCAGAGTTACATTTGTTCTGAACTGCACCTACATGAATCAGATGACATACATTCCGCCATCTTAAAGCAGACAAAAATAAGCTTAGTTATTTATGTAGACAATGAACTATGAGAGCTGAGTGCTTCGAGGCAGAAAGTTTAGACAGACGACATAGTATAACAGAATTTTCTCAACTGCTGACTTTAAGTACAAGTTTTCCAAGAGTTTTTGCCTTATCAGAAGGGACAAGATTAAGAAACCTTATACAGGTACAGACAACTTTAGTAACAAGTGCAGAACCCACTGACATCACAAGGCTTTAAAAATAAAACAACTCTATCTTGTGTATCAGCAACAGTATTCACTGAAGATCTTAGACTGAACTGATGGTATTCAGTATCTTTTACCTTGCATAGAATTCCAAGAGCTTTTGGTAAACATCTGCTAAGTCTTCTTTGACATCTGTTTGGTTGGATTTCTCATATAAGTTTGCTAATCCCTTTAGAAAAAAATATTTGAAATGTAAGTAAGATTTTTCTGTCAGCAGTTGTATTATGAGAACACTGCAAAAGTTCTGCTTATGAAAGTTACTCAATGCCTTCAGTGGGGTCAAGTATTAAAGTCATAATCTCCAAGCAGAATCTATGCTGATACCTCTGTAAAGCCTTTTGAATCTACTAAGTTTTCCTCACTTTCTTAACTAATACCAACAAATACTTGCAACTTGTATATCCTACATAATGTTGTCTGTGTAACAGACAATATACAAAGCAAACTGTCATGTGATAAAAGATGTATGTCCAAGTATCATACTATCTTGCACAGTAACAGAAAGCCAGAATCTGACTGCAAAAGTACGGAAATTTCAATATGCCTTGAAATTGTGCACCAATGGTTATGCTTTAAAAAGGTATTTATATTAAAAATATTAAGAACCTATCTTCAAAAAGTATCAATTGTTGGTATCAGAGACAGACTTAATGTACAATTTTATGCTTCACAAGTCTCCAAACAACATACTTGTACACTGTAACTATACATTGTTACTGGTTGTCATGAACACCCCACCCAGCACACAGCTACTTTAAATGTATGCTATTGTTTTTAAACAGTAACAAAATTCAGTAACAAACCACTCAATGCTGGAAGCTGGAAAAATATGTTAATAGATAAAATGTTTTCTTGCCTATGAGAGCATTGTTAAATTTTCCTTGCGCTAGACACGTGGAAGCTCCTAAGCATGGATGAATTTACTGTACTGTTTCAGTTCACGTTCTCCCTTTCATGCTTCACTGCTAACTAGTGTACGCAAGAAATACAAACTTAAATATACTGAAATTGAAAGTTTACCCTGACATACAGGCTATGCAGGCACCCATGACTTCACTTCGAACACAGAAACAATACAAACCTCAGCTACTCCAAAGCTTCAGCAGAACTCAAGAAGACACAATACATGTCTCAACTCTGCTCTGTCGCAATATTTAACTCCATAGTAAAAGTTTTCAGGTAAAGAAAAAGTTAGTCTGGACAGTACCTGCCATGCCAGTAACTGGTTCGGTTCAAGTTCAATAGCCTTCTTATATGCTCCTTTGGCCTGATCAGGCTGTTCTAACTCAGTAGCTGCCACACCAATAAATACCCAAGCATTGTAGTTATTTTTTTCTTGCTTCAAGACTGCCTAGAAATATGCAATTTTAAGTGAAACTGATGAATGAAATGCATCTTATAGATCCATGTATTAAGTTTTATCATTATAGTTTGGTGAATTATTCCATAACTTAATATTAGAAGTTAAGTAATTTTTAGACAAAGGCTAGGATTAATAACTTCAGCTTTTCATATCAGACAATATTTTTTATCTGAACTGTTTTGCTAGGAAAAACATCTGTAGCTCAGCAATTAAAGCACTCCTGTCGAGGTGCAATTTAGAACTTCTTTTTATCTCTATCATTTTAGACTTAATGTTCTTATTGTCACATATAAGCAAATGCAAAAGCAAGGAGAATAAAAGCTTACATGTGGGGCAACAAACATGAATGATCAATGGAGTTAGACTTGAAAAATCAATCTCAACTATTTTACCAATATGGTACTCCACACTCTGCATTACTACACAGCTGTAGGGATATGGGAACAGCAAGCCAAACATGCATAAAGTATTACCTTCCAAATAAAAAAGTTAGTTACCTTGCAATGTTTTAGGGCTTCTTTATATTCTTTATTTCGTATTGCTTCTCTAGCACTCTTTAATGCTGCCTTCACCTCCTTATTTGACATTGTGGCTATTAAGTAAAAAGGATATATAATCATTTCTTTCAGAAAGATATACTGAACTCAAAATGTTGGTTATATCCTACTATAATTACATAGAGAGCATTCAGAACACAGGAATATGCTGCAGTATGCCAAAATGCATTCAGCACTAAAAACTGCTGAAACAGATAATATGGTTAAAATTCATAGTATCACAGAATGGCTTGGCTGGAAGGACCTTAAAGATCATCTAGTTTCAACCTCACTACCATAGGCAGGGACACCTTCCACTAGACCAGATTCCTCCAAGTCCTGTCCAACCTGGCTTTGAACACTGCCAGGGATGTGGCATTAGTTACTTACAAATTAGTTATTTACATTCAGCTCCAGCACAGGATTAAGTCAGTAAGGGGTTCCTAAGGATCCTAAGAGTTTTTCTTGGGTGTTACATACAGCAGCACCGTGGCCAGGCTGTCACCTACCTTTAGGTGTGGTCCACAATGCTCTCCTCCCCTCACACACTTACAGCAGACCCTGCTTCCAACCATGGCTGTAAAAGTGAGCAAGAATAAAAGCATTTAAGGACACAGCAAAGAGGCTTCATGCTTTGGAAGTCTGAAATGATCATGTATTATTTTGATGTATACAGTTAAGTATTTTGCCTCAAACAAATTTTGGAAAAAAACAATGTCCCACACAACGTCCTTGTCTCTAAACTGGAAAGACATAAATTTGATGGATGGACCACCTGGTAGATAAGGAATTGGCTGAATGGCTGCATGCAGAGAGTTGAGGTCAATGGCTCCATGTCCTACTGGAGACAGGTAACAAGTGGTGCCCCTCAGGGGTCAGTGTTGGGACCAATCCTGTTCAACATCTCTGCTGGCGACATGGACAGTGGGATTGAGTGCACCCCCACCAAGTCTGCCGACAACACCAAGCTGTGTGGTTTGTTTGATATGACAGAGGGAAGGGATGGCATCCAGAAGGACCTTGACACGCTTGTGAGGTGGCCAATGCCAATCTCATGAAGTTCAACAAAGCCAAGTGAAAGGTCTTACACCTGGGTCTGGGAAATCCCAGGCACAGCTACAGGCTGGGTGGAGAACTGATGCGGAGCAGCCTGTGAAGAAGGACTTGGAGGTGTTGGGTGAGGAGAAGCTGAACATGACCCAGCTTCAGTGGGAGACTGAGCCCAGAAACCCTCCATGTGCTGGGCTGCATCAAAAGGAGCATCACCAGCAGGTAGAAGGAGGTGATCCTGGCCCTCTGTTCTGTTCTCATGAGACCTTACTTGGAGTACTATGTGCAGTTCTGGTATCCTCAACAAGGACATGGAGCTGTTGGAGAAAGTCCATAAGGGGGCTACGAGGACGATCAGGGAACTGGAGCACCTCCTGTGTGAAGATTGGCTGAGAAAGTTGGGGCTGTTCAGCCTGGAGAAGAGAAGGCTGCGTGGAGGCCTCATAGCAGCCCTCCAGTATCTGAAGGGGGCCTATAAGGATGTTGGGGAGGGACTCTTCATTAGGGTCTGTAGTGATAGGACAAGGGGTAATCGGTTTAAACTAAAACAGGGGAAGTTCAGGTTAGATATCAGGCAGATGTTCTTCCCTGTAAGGTGATGAGGCCCTGGCACAGGGTGCCCAGAGAAGCTGTGGCTGCCCCTTCCCTGGCAGTGTTCAAGGACAGGTTGGAGCAACCTGGTCTAGCAGAAGGTGTCCTTGCCCATGGCAAGGCGTTAGAACTATAACACCTTAAGCTCCTTTTCAACCGAAACCATTCTATGATTCTATAGTCAACATTGCCTAAATGGGAGGAGGCTGAGAAACAACACTGATGGTGCAGGCACTCCGAGAGACGGGAAGAGGGACAAGCTGAAACACAAAAAGGCCTTTTCACGTCTAAAAGGCAAGAGATAAAGAATAGGTGAAGGGCCTTTAGTAGCGAAAGGACACAGGAAGCGAGTGGATTTCAAAGATTCCCCCAAGAGTCTAAAAAAATTATTAAAAAAAATGTCAAACTTACATTGCCCAGCAGCTCCTACAGATAAATTTGCTTCCTAAGAGGGCACAGGCGCCTCGACCACCACAGACATCCCCTCCACTGGCATTTCCGAGCCTATGTTCCGTTTCACCTAGAGAGAAAGTAGGCCCCACGTCAGCGCACACCCGCTCGGCTCCCCAGCTCGTACCTACAGCGGAGGCCTGCGGGGAGAAGTGACACAGCGCCAGCAGCCAGCAGACCCTCCGAGCACAGCCGCTTGCCGCGCCGCTCCGCGCCGCTGCAAGCCAAGGCCAGTCGAGCCGCGATGGGACAGCACACGACTTGCCACTTCCACCTCCCACCACCTCACCTTCCTCAGCCACTGCCCCGGCGCATACGCCCTGGCGTCAGGGCCGCGACTTGCCCCGCTTAGCCGCCATTTTGCTTCGCGCATTGTGGGAGATGTAGTTTTTGCCGCCCCTCAGAGCCGTACCCTGATGTGCTGAGCGCGGCTGCTGTGGCGGCTGATCCTCTTGTGGGGTCTTCGGGACTGCCCGGGAGAGGGAGGTCACGGCTCCGGGCCGATGCCGGGCGGCTTGCCGCTGGGGCGGGCCGGGCTGGCGTTGCTCCTTATGGCCGCCGCGCCCTGGGCCGGGGCGAGGCCGCTGCCCGGCGCCCCCGTGGGCCAGTCCCGGCCCAGCGTGGTGCTGGTGGTCTGCGATTCCTTGGTGAGGCTCCTGGGCGGGGTAGTGGCCGGGGCCGCGGTGAGGGAGGGCGGGAGAGCGGCAGCGGTGCTTCGACGGCGGCGTTTCTCAGATGCCGGCGGTAGAGGGACTTTCTAGAGTATCTAATAGCAAGAGAGGACTTTTCCGTGACTGTTCCTTCTACAGCCATAGGCTGCAGGGCTGGGTTTTATTCACCACCTCTACGGGGTGGAGGGCTTGCTTGGGATAATGAGGACAGGCTTCCCGTGTCGCTAAGGTAGTCGGTAACTCTTGTATTGTAAACCAAACTCGGCTTTCTTAATGGGAGTGTGCTGCACGTATTCAATGGACGCATTACAAGAGTCAGAGACTTCTGCATGTGTAGTACGGGATGTCAGCTGTGGTACCTCCAGCTGTACCGCTGCTCACGGCAGAGGGAGACGTGTCAGCTTGGGCTGTAGAGCAGGGCAGCAGTTAATGGGACAGAGATGGTGTGTAAAAGGAATGAATGCTTTTCTCTCGGCTTAGAAAGCAAAATGGAAACTAAGGTCTCTAAAGCCTCTTATTTCTGCCATTGTAAATCCTAAGAACGTTAGGGATGGGATGGAGGATGTCTGTAATCACAGAACAAATGACTGAGTTAAGCTGTTGGGTGTCATACTTGCACTGTTTGGTATAGCAAATATTACAATAAGCTTGTTGGATGTATATCTACAGCTAAAAGGATAAAGGAACTAGTATATATGTTTTTATGTATTTCTAGTGGCTTTATTAAATGATTTATTGATACAGCTGTTTTAACCTCCAGACAGGTAGGAAAGATCTTTAATTCACAAATACCGGGTATGTTTCCTTGCTTGCAACTGAAGACAGGCCTCCCATGTTACTGAGACAGTTGGTAACTTGTATTCTAAACCAAACTCAGCTGTCTTACCACTTTTGCAGTCAAGAGTGTAAAGTAAGTTCACAGAGATGTGGTGTGGATAAACCTTTAAAAGGAGGAAAAAGATGAAGGATCAGTTCTGATTTCACAAAAATACATACCAGTGCATCAGGATTCAGACTGGCTTCTCGTCACCTTTCACCTTAGCTATCCCTGTTAAATACATCATGGTGGGACTCTACTACGGCAAGAACTGGACATTAGAATGTGTATAGCAGTAGAAAGGAAGTAATTTAACTATGAAAAAGGCCTCATCTCCTTTATGTAACACTTTGTCAATTAAATTAGTCTAATTAAAGCTTCTCAAATGTTTAATTTTCCATACCTGAGTAGAATTGGCAACATTTGAGTAATGCAAGTTAAGGTAATAAAACTATGAATTAATGTAGCCAGTAGTCTGAGTTCATACTGTTTATATACTGTTTTTCTATGCAGGATGGACGCTTGACATTTTATCCTGGAAATCAGACTGTGGATTTGCCTTTCATAAATTTTATGAAAAGATATGGCACCGTCTTTCTCAATGCCTATACCAATTCTCCAATTTGTTGTCCTTCCCGTGCAGGTAGGACCAAGCATGTGTCAATTTAAATACAAGGTAATAATGGTAAATTTTAAAGGATTTAATTTAAGGGATTTGTTTTGTTTTACAGTAAGATCCAATTTTTTTTAGTTTGTGTCTGAATTTGTAGAGGGTACTCATGTTTTATATATATCTCTTTTCTGTTTCTCATTATTTTTTGTTTGTTTCTTTCTTCTTTTCCAAGCTATGTGTGAGCTTGCAAATCGTTTTGCAAACTCCACTGCAGCTTTACTATTTGAAAAAAATATTTCTGGATTTGAAGAAAAATCATCAGTCTGTCTGCTGCAGTGCTAAAGCTACATTCAGAACTGCTCTCCCCAGTGCAAAATTAATAATTCACTTTCTTGTCTCAGGAAATAGTATTACATAATAACAGATGAATAGTACTGCCTTTGAATGACAGTATTCCAAGTGGTGTGCTGAATGCGTCATATATTCTTCAGTAGCTTTAATTGAATATTTGAATATACTTGCTGCAGTCATTGCCCTGTGTTCAATTTCCCACTTGCAGAATCTGCTGGGAAGTTAGAAGGATGCAAAGTTTACATCTTAAAACATTTCTAGACCTTTCAGTTGTTGCAAAGACCCTTTGAAGGCTGTAAATGAAATTTAAAGGAAGGAAAGGAAGATCCCCCTTTCTCTCAAGCATACACTGGAACAAGCATCCCATCATGACTGCAGCAGGCACAGGCTGTCAGATTAATTTTTTTGTACTTTATTTACTTATAACCTAGTACCCTTTTCTGTTTTCAGGGCCTCATCTTAAGTGAGAGTACATGAACATGCCATCAGTCTTGTTTTGTCAATTTTTGAGTCTTTCAGATAATCTTTGTTGCTGGGAATAGTAACTGTATGTTATTCTAAGAAGTTTTGTGAAAATAGCAGCTAATGCTCCCAGTGAGGAAGATAATGCATGATGAATTCAACAGTTCATCATTTCTGTTTATCATTTTAAGTATTTCACCAACATCATCATGACCACTTGTCAGTCATCACAAGTGCAGCTCTGAACTAGCAGGGCATCTCTTGTTTAGCCAGTGGCTTGGAGACCTGCAAGGAGCTGAGGGTACATCTGTTGTGGAGGTGTCAGAGATCACACTAGAAGAGATGGTGAGAAGGAGGATTTTAGGGTGGGGAAGGTGTCCTTAACATAAAAAGGACATGGATCTGTTGGAACAAGTCCAGAGGAGGGCCAAGAGAATGATCAGGGGACTGGAGCACCTCCCATATGAAGATCGTCTGAGAAAGTTGGGGCTGTTCAGCCTGGAGAAGAGAAGGCTGCGTGGAGACCTCATAGCAGCCTTTCAGTATCTGAAGGCATATAGGGGTGCTGGGGATGGACTCTTCATTAGGGACTGTAGTGATAGGACAAGGGGTAATGGGTTAAAACTTAAACGGGAAGTTTAGATTGGATATAAGGAGGAAATTCTTTCCTGTTAGGGTGGTGAAGCACTGGAAGAGGTTGCCCAGGGAGGTTGTGAATGCTCCATCCCTGGCAGTGTTCAAGGTCAGGTTGGACAAGGCCTTGGGTAATATGGTTTAGTGTGAGGTGTCCCTGCCCATGGCAGGGGGGTTGGAACTTGATGATCTTAAGGTCCTTTCCAACCCTAACTATTCTATTCTATGATTCTAAGGTAGGAGTATTGCCATGGTGCGGAGGTAGGGCTGCTGGACTATTTGTGCTTACACGATATTTCTGTTGCTTATAGAACAGCGTAGTTCCTGTTTAGGACTCCTTTTGACTCTTAGCATTGGAAAGAGTGAATGATTCTCAACAATCTGCAAAGACACACTGGAATTCACTAATAAATACTTTCCTTACAGTTCCTTTGCAAGTCTTCCCTTGGTTTCTTTTCTTCTTGGCCTCTTTAATAATCTGGGTTTTTTTTCTAGGGCTGATAGTGAATTACCTAAAGAGGATAAAACTGAGGGCATATATTATTTGTAAAAATAATATACACTAATTCCCTCTACAGACTTTAAATTCATGTTCAAATTTAACTGAAGTAAGGGCAGATAATACTCTGTAAATGTAAACAGATGACTGTTTCATCAGGATCTATACTACCATGGCATTTTCTGTCTGCAGTTAATAGGAATATTTCCTAATCTATGTGAAACCTTGATTTAATGATTGCATAGCACCTGGATGGGACCTTCCGTAATTCTGGGGATTATTTTAGTAAATGTTGTTATTTGTATTGATGATGAAAGTAAGATTTGGAAGTGTAATACTTTGTACCTGTGGACTTTTTGCCACTAAAATACTGATTGATCGCTTCTCAAGTAACTTGCATTTAGATAGGAAGTACCACCTCATCAAAAACCATAACCCATTTTTTGTTCTCCCCAGCAATGTGGAGTGGTCTTTTCACTCATTTAACAGAGTCTTGGAATAACTTCAAAGGTCTAGATCCAGGTTATGTAACATGGATGGATCTCATGGAGAAGCATGGCTACCACACACAGAAGTATGGGAAATTGGACTATACTTCTGGACATCATTCAGTAAGGTAATCAGATAGATTCTCCTCCCGCAAAACAGGCAGGAGTGAATTAATCATGTAATTGGCAAGCGGTTTCTTTCTCTGAAATGGTAGTAGCTTTCATTTGAAAGAAATTTAGCAACTTTGTGCACAAGCAAGCATGTCCCATGCAGATGCCCTATGGCTTTTACCTGTAGATGGAAGGTGAGTATCAGGGCTGTGGTTTTGCCCAATATGAATGAAGGTTATTTTTTATCATTGGCATTGCTCTGTAAGTGAAATTCAAAAGCGGTGTCTTGAGACTTCCAGGCTGTATTATACCAGCTATGTAGGAAAACATATTTGATAAAGCTTGGGTATCAAATCCACCATCACAAAACATGATGTGTTTTTTTGTCTTTTTTTTTTTTCCTTGAAGGTCAGACCTTTTCAAAGACTTACACTGTTGCAGTGAGTTGGCCCTGGCTGGATGCCTAGTGCCCACCAAAGCCACTCTGTTACTGCCCTCCTCAGCTAGACAGAGGAGAGAAAATAGAATAAAAGGGTCGTAGGTTGA